TTCTTTTTCTTTTCTCTTCTTATTTCTCTTTTTTCCATATTTTACAAGTAAAACTACAAAACTGTAAACTATAAATACTAATTCTAGTCACTATTATTACCAAATGTTGAATCAGTGACTTTTTTTTGACAACTTTGAATGTGATCTAATTTTTTGTTGATTTTTTTTCTTTGTATAAAAAACAACAATGATTTAAAAAGAAACTTTTCAAAACTACTACTCCAACATTTCAGAAATCTACAAACTCCAAAAGAATTATGATAATACTTTCTTCTCCAACTATGAGGGAATATGTATCCCTAGTAAAGCACTATGTACAGCAGCCTATCATGGTAATAAAACTATTGTAATGATTATTTATTAAATGATAAATATAGGTATTGAAAACTTGATGCTTTTTCTTTATATTTGTGTCGTATCTTTTACAATTGTTTTGGAAAGAATATAAACTATATAAACCAAAGGCATTTTAGGATGTTCATTTAAATTTTTGACCAAGTCTAAGGTTTGATTACCAAATGTGTCAAATCAAGGGAGGTAAGTTCAATTTTTAAAACCTCAAGGGAGCTCAATGAAATTGTTTAAAACCTTAGAGGAGGCTTATGAAATTATCCGTACCTATAATCAATTTTGAAGTGCTACAATCAACACACTTTCAATTCTTAAAATTTTGTCTGTAAATATTGTTAACATTTTTCCAATTTCTCACTCTCCTTCTCCATCATTTATTTTCTTTTTTCTCTTATCTAATTTTCTAAAGTGTTGGGTATTTTTTTAATAATTACCTAATTATTTTTAGAAAATAACAATCTATTATTTATGAGACCCACAAAAATATATATTATTTTTTAAAAAAATAAAAAATTTCAGAAAGTAAATTTTTCAACAAAATTTAATAAATTATTTTATAAAAATAAATGAAATTATTTTTTAGAAAATAAATTTATTTATTTATGGGACATGTATTGAAAATTATTAAAATAAATACGTGATTTGATTGTAGGTCTATGTTATCATACTGTGTAGAGTGTAATCTACAGTGAGTGATAGTGTAATGAAAAAAGAGATAATAAATTGATGATATGGCATGTAATCCATTGTGGATGTCCTTTAAAAAAAGGACACCTTGAAGGACTCTTTCTTGCTTTCATTTTTTTTTCAAGTTAAGCATCAAGATTTATCTTACTCTAGTCCTATACTATGGTACGGAGAGTGCCCAAGTGAGTTGTGTGAAGGGGTTGGTGGTACTACTGTACCCTTTAGATTTATAACAGAATGGAAGCCAAGTTTACCGTGTATGCATCAAGCGAGTTTTGGACCATCAACTCAATGCACGAGACAGACTTTGAGAAGTCCTCCTAGGCCAACTCCAGTAAGCTGGATTGGTTATCCTTTCTCCTTTGTAACTTTGTATGCCAGTTTCCTTATATTTATTTGTTTCCTTATTGTTGAGAAAGGGGTTTGTTCCAGGTTCTTATACCCTGATATTTCAGCTACATGTTGGCCGAACATTATGTTCTGCTAGTTTTATTCAACTAAATTTGGTTCTTAAGTGAGCTCAAGTTTTCTTGGTTTCTTTGAAACTTTGCCAAGAAAATTTGTTTGTTTTCTTCTTTTTGGTTGGTTCATGTCAGATTTAGCCAATATTTTAAAGTAATTTTGTTGATTTGGACTCATTCAGACTCATTGTGTAGTTAAGAACGGCCATATTGGGAAATCTGAAGTTTGAATCCGTTAAGTGACTGAATTGTTAAATATTAAATTTGTTACATTTGAATATATATCACATTAATTGATAAGTGAATAGCTTATCACTTATTTTTTGAAGTAAGTTTTGCTTAAAAAATTCAATGTCACTTAATTAATTTAGATTTAAATGTTCTATTTTTTATTATCAAATATATCTAAACACATAAATTAAGATCTGAACTCATTAACCTTAGGTGTTAAATTGGGCTATCAAACAAGGCCTATAAGACTTTCAGCTCATAAAAATCGAAAGCAATATTTGCTTGTTGGCTTAGTTACTGAGGTTTTGGTATCTAGTTACCGAGATAAGCAGAAAGAACAAAAGGGAAAAAATAATAACAACAAGTAACAATAGAAAGAAATAGAAGAAAAAACATCAGTCATAGGTTTCCGTTTGTGTTTCCTTTGAAATTTAGAAAGAAAACAAATTAATTTAGAGCAACAAAAACACTAAAATCTCTTCGCTGGTTCTCCGTTGGGCAATACCCTTAGCATTCATGTTTAGTTGGTTAGTTCTGGATTTTTTTTTCCTTCAGCAAGAACATGTTTAAGTTAGCTCTTCAATTTTCTTCAGTTGTTTTCTTTCTTATTCACATTCAAGTCCCAAACCACCAAAATTTGACCAACGAGGTTAATAATCGTGACTATTATTCTCCAACGTTAATGACCATGAGTGTTAAAGTAAACGCACGCGAAAAAGAAAATAGAATCAGGGCTTCGACCGTTGAAGTAGTCGAATTAGATGGATAATTGTCTTCTGCAATGTAAGCTGTTGGGAAAGGGGTACCAGTACAGGCACACAGTATCAGAGTTAGTCCAGGACAAATTTCTCTTTCCCCAAGTACACAGGTCTATCTTAAAACAGGAACAAATCAAATCACCAAATAATAATTCCAGCAGTGATAATAAAATGCAAGAAAAATAGAATGTACAGGACACCCAGATTTTTACTGGAAAACCCAATTGGGAAAAATCACGGGATCTAGTCCAGTCAAAATCCCTACTATCACAATAATAGGAATACACAGGTCTATCTGAAATATTCGGACGACAATAATATCACCACCACCAACCAAGTGAAATTGCTCCTAAATCACTCCCAAAAACTACAACTGTCAAAGAAGTGAGTTTGGAAAAGTAATACCAAACGAAGAGGAAATCTGAAATCTGAACAGGTAGATGAGTAGAGCTTGACAAGAGGATCGCGTGTGTAAAATTTCGTCTCAATCGGGTTTCAAATCACCCTCCAATTAAGACCTTGAAGTTTCTCTCTCTCTAGCTATTTCTCTCTCTTCGTGTCTCTCAAAAGTGACGGCTGGCTCTTTTTCTCGCACACCAGAACCGAAAGCATCTTGCTTCAACCGTTGAAGTAGTCAAATTAGATGGATAATTGGCTTCTACAATTTAAGCACCATACACAAATATAGATACTAAGATAACAACATGATAAAACACAACAAATTTTGTTATTGGTCGAAAGTTATCCTACAATAATCTTGTTCATCATTAAATTAAACTTATTTTAACCATTAATTTTTTTTTAATCATTCATGTGCCAATTGCATCGAACCCCAACCTGCAGTCCTGCAAAAATGAAACAAATTTAACTAATTAATGTCAGCCAGTTACGCTTGCAAATAAGGAGAATCCATTAAAGTTACCGTTTATTCAACGAGTAATTCGTACATTTTAAAGTTTGATATCTATTTGGGCATTATTTACATAAAAGAATATGGTCATACTATTATACATATGTTGATGCATCTTTCTCCAGATGGAGGAACAATATAATTCAATCTTAACCGCATGAATCATTTCTAATCAAACACCGGAAGTAACGGAAGATATTTGATCGGTGTAAGAAAACAGGCCTAAGTTTTGTATATAGCCAATACTTTTAGGCATTGGGAGGCAATTCTTAGGTTAAATTTTGTTTTGATCCCTTGTACTTTAGATGTACTTTCCTATTATACCTTAAACTTCATTTTTTGACACTTCATCCTTTAAAGTATAAAACTCATCCCACTTTATTCCTTAAACTTTATTTCTGGATAGTTTGCCCTCCCTAAAACGCGAACTCCTTCCCGTTTTAGTTCTTGAATTTTGAGCATCACTTACCTGCCGTTCCATTAGTTTTGACAATTCTATGGAAAGGAGTTGATATTTGAGAGGATACATTGTCTAAAAATCAAGTTTACGAATTATAGTAGATAAATTTCATACTTAAAGGAAGTAAAGCATACAAAATTTAAATTTAAGGACCAAAATAGGAATGCGTTTATAGTGTAAGGGTCGAAAATAAGATTTATAGCCTCATTCTTATGGATTCATGGCAACATTAATTGCATATTTAACAAGCATTTCCACGGTATGAAAGGAAGATTCAAATTAACGTAACTATCCCAATCCCCACATAGCATGCTTTCGTATAGATAGACAGCAATTATTGTACTTCCAATTTAATTTCAATATATCTTGAACAAGTCCTTCTTTTTTTTTTTTTTTTGGTAATAAGTTTGAACAAGTCCTTCAAATTACACAGATTTCAAAGTCTATAAAGTGTTCATAAGGCTTAAAGAAATGAAGAAAAAAAAAGGCTTGCAAGGTAGAAATATGCGCAACCTTTTTACGTGACAATGTTGTTAATGACATTATTGCACAAGTCACTTGACTGTCTCATCTCGGCTTGTAATGGCGATTTCATGGACTAGTCCCATCACACTCTCTGTCATTAGTCTGGTTAACTCTCTATGATAGGCTAAAAAGGATGAAAGCCAGTCAAGAAAGCGACCTAAAGATGTAAATTTTTTCTTCCTTTTAATTTCCAATTCGCGTATTGACTCTGTTGACCTTATTGCTTACATTACACTTTTTACTTGAAAGCAAATTGAAATATTTTGTGTTCGAGCACTTCAGCAATTTTATTTGTAAAAAAAAATTATTTGATTGTATCGTAGTAAACACATTTTTCAATCACTTTTTTCTTTTATTCTTTTAACTATCTTTTAATTTCACATACATCGTATGACAAGAAATACTATAATATTTTTAAAAAAATATTATTTCAAATAATCTTCTGTCGAAACACACTCCATGTTGTTTGCTTTTATCTTAGGATTAGAGTGATACACTGTGTCTGGGTATTAGTTTCCCTAGCAATCACAAGTACATTGGAGTTTATTTGGCGGATCTTACAATACTATGAATTTTGATGTTCAAAACAAAAAATCATCCACGCATAGAGAGCCAAATTAATCATTTGCAAGTTCAGATCTCCCAGTGATTTTGCTCAATGTTTTGTACACTTCTAGCATGGATGGCCTTCTTGCTGGATCAGATTGAATGCAGTCAACTGCAATTCTAACCAACTCAAAGATCTCGTCCTCGTATGCTTGCCTAATCTCATCCGAATCATATGGTTTGGAGTTCTGAAATGTCCATTTGACCATATCAAGACCTTCAAAGCTCTTCAGACAACCATTCATTTGGCTAAATTCCTTTTCAGCAATTAACTCAAGAAGCACTACTCCAAACTCATAGACATCCTTCTTAAACGAACCCGACTCCCATACTTCATTGTCTACCACAGTTCTCCAACTTGAAGAAGTAAAGTTCGATTTCAAAAGTTTTGCACTTCCAAAGTTGGATATCTTGGGTTCACAACTATGATCAAGCAATATGCATCTTGAGCAAATGCTGCTATGGACTACTCCAACCTGATGAAGCCATGCAAGTCCTCTCGCAATCCCAACTGCTATTTTCACCTTCATAGGCCATTCTATGCACTTGACCTTGCCGTTTTGAGCAGAAAAGAGGAGATCATGGAGGTTTCCATTCGACATGTATTTATAGACTAAAAGTCTGCTGTTAATTTCATAGCAGAAGCCTATGAGTGGTATGAAATTGCAATGTCTCATCCTTCCAACAGTCATGAGCTCAGACATAAATTCTTGATCGAAATCATATGAGTTATGGAGTTTCTTGATGGCAAGAAACCAACCATTTTGGAGTATTGCCTTGTACATTGTCCCCAATTTCCCCGTTCCAATTATATTCATACAGTGGAAATCGTCAGTTGCCTTGCTAAGTTCTTCGAAACTCATTCTTGTTACATGTTTTTCCAGTGCCATAATCTATCATTAGAGCACAAAGTATTACTGCAAAATATATACTCCTTAAGGAGCTTCACTTATGCCAAAAAAATTTTGGTTGTAAATATGATCTGAAAAATGGAGAGCACTCATGAAGGAGTAAAAGAAAGAAAACAGTTAGCTGCTTAATCATAACCAAAAAAAGAAAACAAAACTAGTTATAGGATGTTCAATTTAATCCATATATACGCCCGTGTAACTTAAAGTTCATTGTCTATCTATAGTAAAACAAAACTGTGTGCTAGCAAGTTTATACTAAAACTTGAATGAATTAATTGATCAAACCTTTTAAGTTTTACCCACAAAAAAAAAAAAAAAGAATCTTCTTTCTTGATCAAAGAATTTTTTATTTATTGGAACAAGGAGTGCGATAGAATTGGAAATAGTACGGATCTTTACACAAGCTTATGTACTCAATTTGGTTATAGGGAGTGAAGTTACCTTAGAGTCTTGGATTCTCCCATTCGAAGTTAAAAGTCGTGGTCCTTGAAAAGCTTTAGTCTCTTGTTTTTTCTCATTCTTGCTCTTTAGTTTTCTTGCACTCAGGATAGGCACAATAAACAAGTTAAGAACTAGAGCCAAGATGGTAGAAAGCACCCATCCAACCACAAAACCACTTGTGAAGAGGATTTTGTCATGTTTCTTTGTTTCTGAATTAGACTTACAAGGCTCTAAAGGACCACCACAAAGCCCCAAATTATTTGCATAGCTTTCAGAAAGTATACTTGCGTTAATAAAAATAGGGACTGGGCCAGATAAAAGGTTGTTGGCAACATTAAAAATCTTCAAGCGATCTAATAGGCCAATTTCTGGAGGAATTTGACCTGTTAATTGGTTGTTGCTGAGTTGTATGGAATTTAGAAATGAACAATTTGCAAGATCTGTAGGAATTTCACCCGAAAAATTGTTGAAAGAAAGGTCAAGACTTGTTGCAAATTTGACAATACTTGATAAATCAGAAGGAATGGTTCCATAGAGACTATTTGTTGAAAGGCCTATAGCCGTTAAAGCTGAGCAATTTTCTAGTCCTCTAGGAAACTCACCTTTTAGTCCCATTCCGCCTAGGTCAATAGTTTGAACCTTATTCTCGTAAGCATGCCAGCATTCAACACCCGCGAAGGAACATACAAAGCCTTCCGTGCTGTTGTCAAAAACCCAGCTAGATAAACTGTGAAATGGATCATCCAAGGACTCCTTGATAGATCTCAAGCAATCAACATCGCGTGGGTTTCCACTTCCCAAAGTAAATATTCCTAGCAAAAACACAAGGGCTACAAGCCTTGAATTAATGACCGTAGCCATGCAAATTGAAACAAAACTTGTGCAAGACAGTTATTAGTGCAAATGAGAGAGTGATCCCTATATTTATGTACAGAGGTTGAAGTAAGTAAATCAGGGAAAGAAGTGGGAAAGTCTCCTAAAGAATTTGGGGCCGGCATCGCTCCTGATTTTTCCCCAAAAAAAAAAAAAAAGAAAAACCACGAGTTGACTGAGAATTAGTGGTAGTAGTCTCAAGAGTCAGAACCGAAATGCAAGTATATACTGTTACTGGGGCTACTGGAAATCATTTCAACTCTAAACATTAGTCTTTCTTCCACATTCAGGGGGTCCATGTGGAGAATTCGATAGATTGATGAAGACTGGATACTGTCCTGGTCAAGATTGGCTACTGGACCGTCACTTTTCTTGTTCTTTAATTCAAGCTTTAGCATTTAAGGTAATGTTTTAAAAACCGGACCGTTAATTGAACCGATAAAGTGAAAGGGTCGAGATTTAACCGGTCGGATCGGTTCAACCCCAGTTCAATGAATTTTTTTTAAAAAAAAATATATAAATATATATATGCACAAAATAAGACATGTAATGAACTAATTTAATACTTTATATGATGAAAGTTTACTATTTTTTAATAACTTGGATTTTTAAAAATAAAATTTCTAAATTATAAGTTAAAATAAATAAATTTCATCTCAATTTCAATTATATCTAAATCCAACCCAAAAATATCACAATATTTTGAAATTATACAAAATTCACGTCTATGAGAATTTAGATATTGTGAACTTAAATTTTAATTTATATTTTCGGATTTAGAGATTGCAATTTAAAAAAGGAAGTTTGGAGTTCGAAGGAAGTCAAGAGAATCGAAAATAGAAATGTAAACTTGATAAGAAACAAAAATGAGATAAAAGTGAGTGGTTGTGGCATTAAATAATTTGGGTTAAAGAAAAATAATTCTTTTTTAACTTTTTTCAATTTAATGGACAAAAACAAAATGAAAAGATGGAAGAAAATATCAATAAATTAAAAATAAAGAGGTTTGATTAAAAAGGGAGCGACAAAAGAAAAAAGGATAGAGAGAGAGAGAGAGTTGAAGATTAAAAAGAAAGAGTCATGAGAGAATGAGATTTTGTAAGAAAAATGGAAAAAAGAAATATGAGTGTTTGTTTTATATAAATGAGTTATTAAAAAAAATTAATAAGATGTGATGGTGCAACGGTTAATACATTGGTCTTCTATTACAAAGGTCTTGAATTCGAATCTTGATAGCTGCGTTTTGCAAAACTTAAAAAAAAAAAAAAGAGGGGAAAGTTGAAAACCGGAAACCACCGGTTCAATCCTGTTCGGCGGTTTTCACGGTTCGACCGATTTTTGATCGATTTTCTGACAAAGTCAACTATGACATAGAACTGAACCGGTGCCATGGCCGGTTCGCGGTTCAAACAGTCGAACCAGCCGGTCCGGTCCGATTTTCAAAACATTGATTTAAGGGGCAATGTTTTAGATGGGAGAAGATTTCATTCATAATGTGTAACCGATTTCTGGCTTTGTAATTCTAACTTGCACCATTTTTCATATGTGAGCAACTATACTCAGGTTTTTGGGACCTGAAGAATTTTTAAACCAATTGATATATGTCGTAGGAATATTTTCATATTCTCTTGTGGTTAAATTTAATAATATTGTACAAAGCTAATAAATTGATAAGATTTTTATAGTATTGTATTTATCTCTTAGATAGAGCCACAAACAAATCTCATAAGCCAGTTTATCAGTAACTAATTGAATCAATATTGGCTGAGTTCAAGCAGTTTGATTAAAGTATTACGTAGTTTGATTAAGAAGATGCTCCCAAACTTCGTGATTTGTAGACATACTTTTTAACAGTAGCATTGATCATCTATTTTAAGCCACCTTAAAAAAATTATAATTAATATCTATTTATATATGAGCTCGATTAATTAGACTTGGACTCGAGTTTTATTGGGTTCAATTTCTTGTCAAACTGTCCTTCTTGAAAACCATGTCTTATCTAGGGATGACTGGGGAGGTGAGTGCTCACGATAGGAGACTAATATAATCAAATCTCTTCTCTAGTTCTCCTCATTCCCTACTTTTCTCGTTGATTTATTTCCTGTAGTTCGATGCTTTAATCTGGAGGTTCTGATTCATCCTAATGGTATACTCACAGATGTTTTCCCACATATTCATAATGGATTCAAGCCAAAAAAGAAAAGAGGGACAGAAAAGGTGCCCCGATGGGGGGAGTAGGGCGAGCAGGTGCAGGGATGGGGCGAGATTAGGGAGAGTTATATGACAACGGAGGTCCTCTCTTGCTCTATTGCCATCCCTACTCGTCAAGCTTCAACTCGTGCTTCACATTAGATGTGCAAGACCAAATAAATCTCATCGTAGATTTGTCTATATTTTAAACTTTACATAAAATTATAGGGGATTTCGTGGATACTTTAAAACTATGGGTTCATATGATATTATGCAAAAGTATAGAGGAGTTATGAGTTATTTACTCTAAAATCTATTCTACATAAGTAAATAAATAACTATAGGACTATCGCCTTCCAAGGTGATAATCCTATAGTTATTTTTTTTTGACAAACGATAATCTCATATATATATATATCAACACTTGAAATTACAAGAGTTAATTATAAAAAGGGGTAACTATAGTTATTTATTTACTTATGTAGAATAGACAAGTAATTGCAATCCAGCTTACTACAGATGGAACAAGTTACTGGATCTCAACAAGCATTGCTAAAAAAAAGTTGCACGGGATTGTAAATGTTTGTTTTAGTTTCTAAAAATATATTGCACAATAATACTATAAAGTAAGCTCCAAATACACTCGAGGTGATCCTTATTAAATAAAGCCACTGCTAATTTAATTTGTGAATTAGAAAAAAAAATTTACGCAAATTTTCCTAATTATATATTGCATAAGGCATCGACCTCAACGTCGTAATTAAGTGGCAATGAAGCTTTTATATTTGAATTCGGTTTCTTAAGCAAAATATTGAATAGCATGGTTATTTGGGAATATAGTGACAACAAAAGAATATTGCACCCACGTAGATGTCATGTTTTCTATTGATAGATTTAGAGGAAATAAAGATTGGTCACGAACTTTTAACTTCATTCCCCGTTTTGCTTTAGGGGAGGGTTGGGTTGGATGGTACGGGAGGAAGTGTAAATAAGAGCTCTCGAGTTCGAGTCCTTATGCTTACATTGAAAAAAAAAAAAAAAAAGAGAGATCAACACTAATTCTGCACGAGTTGATCTGGTAGCTAGAAAAGAATGATTGTAGAAAATAGTTGAAAGACAAAATTACTATCAAATTGTCACTAATCCCAAAATAGCTAGTTAACAACAACACTATGGAAAATCAGGTGCGAGATAAATGTTCGGGTTAGATATAATTTAGCACCTCTCATAGTCTTTTTAATCATACTCTTCGAAATACTTGCATGTTTTCACTCAAATTTCTCCACAAAATAAACAAAAGGTGACACAAAAAAAATGAATTATGAACCCATTACTTCTCAAAAGCCCAAGAATAAAAAATGAATACTCGAAGCAACATATGATTAGCACATCAAAATGAAGGCATTCTTATCTGTTGATATAGTGATCCTATCTCGCCATAGACAGTCTTAAGGGGGCGGTCCCCAAAAACCTCAGAACTTTCTCCCGCAAAAAATTAAAAAAAAAAAAAATTCAACAATCAATGTCCTTTATGAATTATTACTTTTATCCCCCACTAGAATTTCAAAAATATCTATAAATTTAATTTGTTCCTCAAAGTAACATTTCTGGCTCTGTTTATGTATATTGCATGAGGTTAGTTAACGGGATAAAAATTAAAAATATTATCATCAATACTACAAAATTCAATACATTTTTTGATCAAGCTTGGCAAGAAGGTGGTCTTAAAATAATTTTTTTAAAAAAAAGAAAAGTATACAAACCAAAATAAACTTTTTCAAACAAGAAAAAAACTTTTTGAAGAAGTACACAAATATCTTACGCAAGTAATAAAAAAAAAAGACTTGAATTTGAGAAAATAAGATGGGGGATGTTGAGCACATGCTACGCTGAAATTGACTAAACACTTCAATTGATTTTAGGCAGCCAAAAAGACAAAAAGTTCAACTACTTAATATGCTGACACCTATCCTCTTTATATTATCATAACAACACTCCTAATTCTTGGTTCAATTGTTACTTCTCTAATTCCTCCCTCTTCTCCCATTAACCAAATCCTTACACTTGAAAATCATTCTCCTCCCAAAACTTTTAGCATAAACTCGCACAAGAAAATGAAAACCAAAAGCACAAGATTTCTTTTCTAATGTTAAAATTTTATTTTCATCCATCACGTTGATGTGAAGTTTTTCGAAGTTCTTTTCTATGTGAAGGATTTCGGGAGGGAGGGAGGGAGGAGAAATGTCATGAGAGAGGGCGACAGGAGAAGGAGCCTACTATTTAATGGGGTTGCCTTTTTAAATTGGAGTTAAATAATGGGGACAAAAATCAAAGGGCAATCTTCATAAATTTCCAAACATCCTCAAATTAATCCTAGACATGACGTGATTGACTTAAAATAATGTGTTGTTTTTTGCATATATGTTTGTCAGAAGAAGAATTTGGTGACTTCATCTGATTGAAAAAAAAATTAAAAACGTAAGATTCCCTGCTTTTTATCTTCCATGAACTTTTTCCTCTAATCTTTTTTCCTTTTTTTGTATTTGTTACCTTATTACTATAACTTTTTCAATATTGATCAAGGTATCAACTTTTTGGACTTTTCAGAGGTATGCTGTTGTTAGGTTGCATTTCTAATAAATAAAATGCTCACATGTTTTAAGAATAATAAAAGGATTCTTTGGATTGTAATTAGTTATAAAACACAATTTATCGCAATGGTCTTATTGCTGTTGTTATTCTTTTATTCCTTTTTTTCCATATCGAAACGTAGTCATATGAAGTTGCCTTGCGCTGGC